TGCATAAAATTGGCAATGAGCCTCACAGCTCCTCAACAGCAGATTACCTCTCCTCCATTGACGTATTCCATTACAAAGCAAAGCCGATCCTTGGTTTGGAAGGAGTACTTTAAAGACTGTAAGACAGAAGACAACACGGTAAGTACATCTGAAATGAGTGCATCCTAAATGGTCATGGAGCAAAGTTTTTGAGGCATCTTCAATGTTAAAATGACAGAATTTATATATGTTTCCATTCAGGCACAGTGGCCTTCATGTTTCTATATTGAAGAAAAAAAAATACAAATGTAAATTTAGCTATTTATTTAGCAGCTATAACTACTGCTCCTTATCCTGACTACAGGTTAATCCATGTATCATTTGTTCATTCGCTTTTTAAGCTGAAGCCAACAGTGAAGAGATAAGAGTTTCTTTCTTTAAATAATATAGAGGAATGGAAAAAAATTCTTTTTTAAATTTTTCATATCACTACTTAATTGAACATGTTAAAAATGTATACTGAGCTGAAAGAGATTTACAGTTTTAATGTTGTTTTAGGCTCCGAGGTAAAAAAAAAAAACCCACAGGAGCCACATATGTAGCGCTCCACTAAAGAACATTCAAGCTCAGAACATTTAACAGATTTAAACACAGAATGTTTTAAAGTTGTCAAAGAGGCTGAAATATGAGCTATGCTGCTCAGAAGGTTCTGAAGAAGCAGCAGCTGTGATGTACAGGGCACGTCACAGATGCTTAACTTAAAGGAAAAGTCCGGTCATATTCAGGAATCAAACATCTGAAAGTACTTTAAATATGAAATTATTACATACTGTTCAATAAATTATAAAGGTTTTTAATTCAGAGTAATTTTCATGTGAATGTGCTTTACTGGAGGCATCCATGTTTGTCAAAGAACACTACTGCCACCTACAGGTTTGTAACGTCTAGGGATGTAAATCACATCCATCATGGCGATTCGATTTAGTATCGATTTCCTGACCCAAAGATTCAATTATTTTCGATACTCAAGAATACACCACGATACGATTCGATTATTTGGTTCATATTTTTTTACACCTTACAGGCTTGACAATGTTTCACATTTGAAACAAATCAATGAAAGCTGTAATATCGTTATGCATTTTTTGAGAAAATACAGAAAATAACACAAGTAGAAAAGTTGCACTCCACCTATTCCTTTTAAAACCTCATTTCCTGAAAAATAATAATACCCCTGCGTTATAGATTCTGAAAGGCCTCGCATCAAAAAATACTGCACAAAATCAGTGCAATGAGTGCAATGCGATACCTCGGCTCCAGACGTCCCGCCCCCTCCNGTCATATTCAGGAATCAAACATCTGAAAGTACTTTAAATATGAAATTATTACATACTGTTCAATAAATAAGTGTTTTTAATTCAGAGTAATTTTCCTTTGAATGTGCTTTACTGGAGGCATCCATGTTTATCAAAGAACACTACTGCCACCTACAGGTTTGTAACGTCTAGGGGTGTAAATGACATCCGTCATGGCGATTCGATTTAGTATCGATTTCCTGACCCGAAGATTCAATTATTTTCGATACTCAAGAATACACCACGATACGATTCGATTAGTTCGTTCATTTTTTATTTTTTTTATACCTTACAGGCTAGAAAATTTTTCAAATAAATTAAAATTATAATAAATTAAATAAATAAAAATAAATTAAATAAATCATTTGAAATAAATCAATGAAAGCTGTAATATCGTTATGCATTTTTTGAGAAAATACAGAAAATAACAGAAGTAGAAAAGTTGCACTCCACCTATTCCTTTTAAAACCTCATTTCCTGAAAAATAATAATACCCCTGCGTTAAAGATTCTGAAAGGCCTCGCATCAAAAAATACTGCACAAAATCAGGGCAATGAGTGCAATGCAATAACAGACGTCCCCGCCCTCTCAACAGACGCTCCGCTGCTCCTCTCCCAAATTGTAGCTGACCGCAGACAATGTCGCAGACAGGAGGCCGGCTTGTTTTGTTTTCATGACCGAAATTGCGGAAAACAGCTCGTGAAGTTTGACCCGCTAGAAGAGTGAGGTGCATGAGAACGCTGGGGCCCTTTTTCCACCTGGATCTCCGCTCTTTTTGGCCCTCATGTCCCTTCGTCGTTGGAGCTGTAGGAGTATAACCAGGGAGCGAGGTAGGAGGGCAAAATAGGTTTAGCACCACCGCAGCACGGGAGGGAGAATTACGTCCAGGAGCAAACGGATAAAAATAGACCGGAGAAAAAAAAAACATGAATCGATTCTCTTGCGGACTTATCGGTGTATTGGATCGTCGGCTGTTGGATCGATGCATCGATACAAAATGATTAATATTTACACCCCTAGTGACGTCACGTTGCGGTATCGGCTGTTGATCAAGTCCCAGTGCTGTATCTGGTGTTTGTCACAACGCGCTATTATCCAAGTCATCTTGAAAA